GGCCCCTGAGCCATGGCCTCTGGGCCTGCGCGTCCGGAGCCTGTGCTCCGCGACGGGAGAGGCCACGACAGTGAGAGGCCCGCGTACTGCAAAAAACAACAACAACAACAACAAAAAAAATTGGTACATAACATTATATTAGTTTGCAACATAATAATTCAATCTTTGTACACACTACAAAGTGATCAGCATAATAAGTCTAATTACATTTTAAAGTTTAAGAAACACTGGGATAGATTTTACATATCCTCCAGATTTAGATAGGCATATTTGAAAGAGTTTATCAAATATAACAGAAGTAAGTTTATGACATGAACCTCTGAGAGGGATTAAAGCAACAAATGAAAGTTAGGGAGCTCTAAGAAGTGAAATTTTAATTGGACAAATAATCCTGATAATAAATAAAAGAGTGTATGGTACGTAAAAAAGCAAAAACAATACCAAAATGGTGTTGGGCAAGGAGTTCTCTGGAGTCCGGTTTTTTAAAGCAACAAGTATGATGCCTAATATTTAACTGGAATTTTGTTATATACCAAATGTTTTCTATATACCATATACTAGGCTCCTTATATGACTTAACTAATTTCTCCTTTGTATAATAATTAATGTAATAATTAATTACATTAAATCTGTACAGTGGGAGGAATTTCTGTCACCACTGTATAGAGGCAAACACCGAGAAATGAAGAAATTCAATGAATACCCCAAATATAGGTAGGTAATAAGTTGTGGTGGCAAGTTTCAAATCCAAGAAATCTCTCCCCTATGAAAATCATAAGATACTTTAACTGAAACGTGACTATGGCATTTTTTAAGAGCTAAAACTCTTAGAAGACGATAAAAAAGTAAGTCTTAATGATCATGGATTAAATAAGGTCTTCTTAGATATGACACCAACAGCACAAGAGACAAAAGAAAAAATAGATAATTTAAATTTTATCAAAATTAAAAACTTCCCAGAACACCAAGCAAGAAAGTTAAAAAAAAAATAGAATGGGAGAAAAATATTGGAGATAATATATCAAATAAGGGACTTGTATCTAAAATATATAAAAACTCTTACAACTCAATTATAAAAGAACAAATAATGCAATTAAAAATGGGCAAAGGATACAAATGGATACTTATCCAAAAATATACAAATGGCCACTAAGCACATGAAAATATGCTCAGCACCATTAGCTGCTAGGAAAACGCAAATCAAAACCCCAGTGAGGTCCCATGTCACACCCAGTAGAATGGCTATAATCAAAAAGACAGATAATCACAAGGGTTGACAAGGATATGAAGAAATTGGAACCATTGTATTGAATGTAAATGCTGCAGACACTTAGAAAAACAACCTGCCAGTTCCTGAAAAAGTTAAATACAGAATTATCATATGACCAGCAATTCTACTCCTAGGTACAGAGAAATGAAGTAAACACATGACTATGCAAAAACTTATACATTAGTGCATGGCATCATTATTCATAAAAGTCAAAAACTGGAAACAACCCAAATGTCCTTCACCTGATGAATAGATAAAATGTGGTATATTTAATTCTGCAGTGAAAAGGAATGAAGTATTGATATATGCTGTAACCTGGATGAACCTTGAAAACATGCTAAGTGAAAGAAGCCAGTCACAAAAGACTACGTTATGTTCCATTTACATTAAATGTCTAGAATAGGCAAATCTATAGAGCTAGGAAGTAGATTAGTGCTTACCTAGGACAAGGGGATGGGGTGGGGGGAAATGGGAGTGAGTGCTAATGGGCATGGGGTTTCTTTGGGGGGATGATAAAATACGTTCTAAGATTGATTATGATGGCTGTTGCACAACTCTAAATATACTAAAAACTGAATATTGTAAACTTTAAATGGGTGAATTTTATGGTATATGAATTGCATCTCAAGGAAGCTGTTAAACAAAAAAGCCTATAACTAGGGTATAAGATTGTTAGTGAAAGAGCAGAGAAGCAGGGAAAGGGTAGAAAGGAGAGAAGAGGCCTAGGGACAGGGCTGAATAACAAGGTACAGGCTAGAATTGGAGTTGGTAGGCTTATCCTAGACATTTTATAAAAACACAAACTCAAACTTTAAAATACATACTATACAGGACCACACAACTACTATTAATAATACATTTGATTTTAAAATTAAAATCAATATACACAACTGTTTTTTATTAATGGTGTTTTGGGAGGAAAAGCATACTTTGGAATTGGTCATAACATGAATTCAATCCAATATATGCCACTTACTAGCTGGTTAACCCTATAAAAGTTATTTAGCTTCCCTAAGCTCTGAGGCTTTCTCTATTTGTGAAATAGGGACACTGATATATTTCTCTTAGTCTCACAATACATGTGAGGTGCTTGTGCCCGACATGGTGTTGGACTCAAAACATGGTATCTGTTAGTAGAAGTAATAGTAAAAATCATTATCATTCAGTGATGATTACTACCAATTTGCCATATTCTACTGAAAGTTTTGCCAACAGAATAATCCAAATTTTGTTACTTAATAAAGTTTTGGCTCTAGATTTTACAACAGGTAGCTAAAAAAAATCTTTCTATTTCATTTATATCAAACAGCTATAGAATAGTAAATATTTTTCATTATATAGAAGAAAACATAAGAAAAAACGATAAGCATAAATAGCTGACCTGAAGCCCAACAGTATGTTATTACACAATAACATAACCCTCTCACTGTGGTATCACCACTTAGAAAAGAAAATTAAAGTAAAAGGAAAACAGAGCTATATGTACAGAAAATAGGAGACTAATAGAAATTGGAGTCTCAAAAAGAAGGGAAAGAGCAAGAAAAGTATACATATGCAACTGAGGGCAAATAATTCTTTATTATTATTATTATTCTATCAACTTAAATGGACAGTTTCAGTTTTGACAACAACATAGAAAAGGAAAAATGACATAAATTTTGTATGTTGTAATATCATATTGTAACATAGCATAGTACATAATAATGTATAATAATTAGGGCCAAACATTTATCTATTCTACAGAGATCCTCCTTTAACTTTGAAAGATTAGGTAAACATGTATTTGTGCATTTATCCATAACACCCCTGCTAAAATGGTAGTTTAAAAATACAATGGCATTAAGCCACAAGGAATGAAACAACAGGAGAGCAGACATGAGATTTCCATATTTTACTAGGAGATGGGAAAACTGAAAGCAGATAGGTGAGTGGTAGCTGGCCCCACTACACCCATGAGAGGCTCAGAACTGGCACAAGGCATCTTAAGTGCTGAGTGTAGCACAGTGCTGAAAACAGGTGTATGGGTTAGAAGTCTTGTGTGTATAATGGAAAACTATGCCTAGGTCCTGTGACTATGCATTGTAGCCAGGCAGTAATTTCTCTATCCTCACCCCATGAAAAAGACTGGAAATTTATTCTCTAGGAAAATTGCACCAGAGATTTTCTGCACAGAAAACACCAGGCACAGAGGCACAGCACAGAAAGATTAAGTGAAATTTTGCCTAATAAAGAGTGGAATCCTCTGTTACCTTATCCCGTACTACTCCCAGAATGCCTCCATAAAAGAGACTGGAAGATTCTTCTCTGTAGTAATTGAACAGTCCCAGATAATAGATACATTCCAAGGAATCTGCAGTTCACTGACCCATCAATTTTAATGCAGCCCACTCTTAGGTAGGTACAACTTGGCACACACAGCTTCTGTACTCCACTTTTAAATGTTAATGAACATCCAAAGAACACCAGACATTTGAAGATACCTCCAACATGAAAAGCAGAGAGCAACAGTGAGGAAAGAGAAAGGAGGTGTATTTTATACAGCATCATCAGATGACTCTGTAAAAGACATGGAATAATTTAATAAATACCTTTTTTTTTTAGGATGATGTTGGGGGTAGGAGTTTATTAATTAATTTACTTTTTCTGTGTGGGGTCTTCGTTTCTGTGCGAGGACTGTCTCTAGTTGTGGCAAGCGGGGGCCACTCTTCATCGTGGTGCGTGGGCCTCTCACTATCGTGGCCTCTCTTGTTGAGGAGCACAGGCTCCAGACGCGCAGGCTCAGTAGTTGTGGCTCACGGGCCCAGTTGCTCCACGGCATGTGGGATCCTCCCAGACCAGGGCTCGAACCCGTGTCCCCTGCATTAACAGGCAGATTCTCAACCACTGCACCACCAGGGAAGCCCAATAAATACCATTTTTGAAAGACAGAAGTTAATAGGTTTTATTTAATATAGAAGTTAAAGATATGTACCTAATATATTTTTCATGCATATGTTTAAAAAATTACTGAGCATCTTCCAATTTCTAGGCATGAAGCAAATTACCAAGGGTAAGAAAAGATGAATAAAACAGTTTCTTCTTGAAGTAGCTCAAAGAAGAAAAGAGAAGAGAAATACACAGACATGAAATAATTACAACAAAATGTAATAAATGATAAAATATAGGATGAATACAGTGTGAGGTATCATATAGGAACAATAGTTAAATGTTTGGGAGAGTATGCTTCTGGAAGTATCATTAAGTTATACTTTAAAACAAACCCACCAATCCTATTACATGTGTAAATATGTGCTTACATAATATAAGGAAAAATTTATAATTAAAAAATGTTGAGAAACTGTGTTCTCTTTAAAAACTGAAAACTTTTTGGGTGAACCATATTTCAAAGAAACTGTCAACTTCATCCAATGTGCTCAGTAGGACTCCACTTACAATAGTGGGCCTACTCAAATTAATCAAGCACTGCACTGTGCTCTCTATTTTCAACTCTGGACTCTGACTATGACGGCACTTTAAATGGTTACAGAATTGGCATGGAGCTTTGGACAAATTATATTAAAATCCTGTGGGAGGGACTTCCCTGGTGGTGCAGTGGTTAAGAATCCGACTGCCAATGCAGGGGACACAGGTTCGAGCCCTGGTTCGGGAAGATCCCACATGCTGTGGAGCAACTAAGCCCGTGCGCCACCACTACTGAGCCTGCACTCTAGAGCCAGTGAGCCACAACTACTGAGCCTGCCTGCCACAACTACTGAAGCCCGCGCGCCTAGAGCCCATGCTCCGCAACAAGAGAAGCCACCACAATGAGAAGCCCGCGCACTGCGAGGAAGAGTAGCCCCCCCTCGCCGCAACTAGGGAAAGCCCCCGTGCAGTAAAAAAGACCCAACACAGCCAAAAATAAGTTAAATAAATAAATTTATTAAAAAAAAAATTCCTGTGGGAATTGCACTTAATTAAGCAATAATAATTTATCAAAAGCTTTACTAAGCTGTTAGTCTCATTTTACATTCATAAGAAGAAACATATGTATAAAGATATAATAAACATATCATTTTATAAATAATCACAATTTGTTCTCTGTCAAGGACACAAATTAATCAATCTTTTAAATATTAATGTTTTGGGATAATTTTCTTCCATTATAACACTTGGAGTCTACTATTTTATCCTAGTAAATTTCCATTAACTACAGCCTGTTTTATATATATTATTAAGAACTGGCAATGATCCAGGTATAGGGTCTTAAGTTGATTTTTCAAAAGCATCCTTCTTTTCATTGACATTATCTCTATAACTACATCTATGTAGAAATAACCACACGACATAGGGCAAAAACCAAAGACCTGTCTTTCTTAAGTACATACTGACTTTTTTTATGTTCCCATTTGATACTACAATTGCTTGAGTACTCACTGGTACAAAGGCATGCAATGCACCCTATCTGGATGTTCTGAAGTTGTTTAGTTGCAAATTACATTTCTATGAAATATCTTTACTTTAAAATTTAGTTTGTATGTGTTGACAAGATTCTGATCAAATGGTTAGCAAACTTGATGATACATTATTGTGTCAAAACCTAATGGTTTTGGGGCTTCCCTGGTGGCACAGTGGTTGACAGTCCGCCTGCGGATGCAGGGGACATGGGTTCATGCCCCGGTCTGGGAAGATCCCATATGCCACAGAGTGGCTGGGCCCGTGAGCCATGGCCGCTGAGCCTGCATGTCTGGAGCCTGTGCTCCGCAATGGGAGAGGCCACAACAGTGAGAGGCCCGTGTACCGCAAAAAAAATAAAAAAAAAATAAAAAAAACAAAACCCTAATGGTTTTGTTCTGATTTCCTTTCTAACTTTCTTCATATAAATTTGATCTTAGACTGTGTATTTGTTTACCCTCTCTATGGAAGTTCATATAATATATACCCCAATATACTCAGGGTAACTGCTGGAGAAAGATTTGACATTATTCCCATATGAAATTTTAGGAGGATGAAATTTGAAGAAATTAGATGCCTTCTTTTAGGTCACCAAACTGGTTAATGGCTAGATGAAATTAAGAGTTGTTAGTTGAATTCTAATGCAAAGCTCCTTCATGATGTTTATGCCTAGTTTTCTCATGAATGCAAAAAGATAACTGCAATTTTCCTGTTGCCTTAACAAATACAGAAAAAATGAGAAATTGTGAAATTGTATTGAAAATATTAAGACTAATATAAACAACGGCTGTAGGTAAAACATGAACAAAATAGCATCTAAATTATTAAGAAACATGAACTTATCGGTATTATCTCTTGAGATAACTCAAGTTTTTAGCTAGAGTTTGATTATATAGTAGTTTAATGTTGTTAATATCTCTTTAACTGAATCTGATCAACTGATATTCTCCTTTCATACCATCATAGTAAACTTAGTAACTACCAATTTTACACATCACATATTCTTCAACATTTTTGCTCAGCTATATTACACATTATAGTGTGCAAAACACCATGCTGCCATTCTTTCAGTTGTGGGAATAAAGAACAATATGGCAACAGATAAGAAAATCATTTAAGTGTTTGTGTGTATTTTGTTCACTACTCTTCAGTCCAATTTTAGAGATGAACTAACTGTGTCCCAATTCACAATCCCATAGTGACAGACCTAGAACATTGTAGTTAAGTGGTCTATCCACTCCATCATTTTGCACATGTTTGGAAATAACTCATGGATTTAGCTGGCTAGAATGGGAATTTTAATGATTTACATAGAAGAACGTATCTAAGTTAGGAAACCAATTTTTCCGTTGGTATTTTAGTTATGATAGTATTCTCTAGAGACTAGCCTAGGCATATCTTCTACCTACAAGGAAATAATTGCTACTTTATAACAGGGATTATTTCCCAATCCAGTCTTCCCCCACATATTATGGAATTATTAAATTATATTTATTCAACCTCTTCGTACCTTTCTATTTGACTTTCTTCCAAAAGAACTGAGCAATCATCTGATGAATTTAATGAATGAATAAAGTCAATCCAAATGATTACAAAAAAGAAAAGTGCTTCCCCATAAACTTGGGGAGAGGTGACTTATTTTATTGATTTAATTGGCATTAGGAGTTTTTACTCTGAAGTATTTTTTCCAAAGTAAAAAAAAAAGGTACTTAAAATAATGCTCTTAAAAAGTGACATTTTAATGTCATGGAATGAGTCAGTGGATCTTACTGTGAGGTTTATGAGGTCAGGTTAATCTTCTGTAGTTAGCCAAATAACTCAAGGAAAACATAGCCATTAAGGAAAGGTTACATTATTTAGGTCTGCCCTACTTGTGTACTTCTACATTACTTACATTCTTTTACCACTTCCCAGCTTTTTTGTTAATTTTGCACCTTTTACAATTATCTTAGTGCAGTCAGTTTAATTGAAAGAAACAAAAGAACTTCAACTTCGTCTTCACTAAGATCAATATTGTTATCAAAATACTTCAGTTTAATGAAAATGCCTTTCTGGCAAAAGATCAAGAAATAGACTATTAGTGTCTTGTCTATTAATACATATAAATATCCCTGCATATTTAAGATTAAAAATAAACTAGACCTTTAAGCACTGACACTTTCTGGATCTTTCATCTAAGCTTTTGAAAGAACTTGTCTGTGATGGCTTAATTCATTCAAAACAACTTAAAATCTGTGAACTTAAAAACTGACTGAGAATCTGGCCTCTTTCTCTCTGAGAATCAGGCTTTCAAAATGTAGTAAGATTTCAAAAGAAGCAGCCTAGTTACTCATCCTCTGCTTACTCAGAGTAGCCCTGGCTGAATGCTGTGACTCTGTCGTAACTTCTGGGTTAAGTATCTGTGTACTGAATAGCAAATGGAGTATCTCTAGGGCACAATGTCGTGTTGCATCATGCAAGGTGCATTTTCAGCACTGATACCTAAGCAAATTTGTTTGCTGCAGTAGCAATAGCAGAAGCATCTGAAAACTTACAACCCCTTCACATCATAAGTGAGATCTTTCACACATCTTCACTTAATATATTCTACTCTCCCAGATGTACTATAGAATTATTAGCTCCAATTGCGCAAGTCCAAACATGGCATCTGGAAACATCCCTCTGTGTAGAGGGTAGATACGTTCCTAATCTGTTGTTTGAGGTGGTATAAACTTGGACTCTTTCCGTGGCTGTCATCTACAAGATTTGTTACAAATTACTCTGGGAACAAGTGTAAAATCCTGGTGGTCAATGTCATATCTTCTAGGGAAATTACTGTGTTCTATTAAGAAAGTTATAAATCTTGACTTCCTCTGGGATTATTTTCACTATACTTTCCTAAATGTGTAGCCATAAACACATAGTCAGATATTTATAAGAGATAAGGGCTGGAACCATGCAAATCATGGCACAGGGAATCGAGGTGTAAGAATTATGTGGGAGAATAAAAACATGAAGTAAATGCTAATGATAATCTGAAGTCATTACCCATAATAGTTCAGCTAACAGTTCTTGAGTACTAAATGCCAAGCATTATGTTTAGTATTTTATATACAAGATCTCATTTAAATATATGATGCCAGAGAACAAGGATGAGCTCACCAACAGAAGAAAAATGGGCTGGAAAATACAAGTTTAGCCTATAAAGAAAGATTTATAGAAGATCATCTTTCGATGGCAGAAAGTTTTGTGTGGTAATAGAGCAGAAAGGAGCTTTCAATGACAGGAGTTCCTTTCTGGGAAAAGGACCTAGGACAGTCAGACTCAGGGTAAACTCAGTTCTGGGTGAGTCCATGTGTGCTCTGTACAAAATATCTGTCCCACCATCCCAGCATTGGAGACCTGTTCCAGTGCTGGAAAACTGCCACCTTCTGTTAGAGCCAAACTTGGGTCCATGCACACACGTGCAGTGAAGCCAATCTACTACACTGCGTTGTGGTGAGGGAAAGTGCAGCATTTATTGCAGGTTACCAAGTAGGGAGTCCAGCTAATGCTCAAGAGACCCGAACACCTAGATGGCTTTCAGGGGAAGGTTTTTTACTTATTTTTCTTTTTTTTTTGCCATAGCTTGCAGCTTGCAGGATCTTAGTTCCCTGACCAGGGGTTGAACCTGGGGCCACAGCAGTGAAAGCACCAAGTCCTAACCACTAGATCACCAGGGAAATCAGGATGATTTTCCATAAAGACAGGGTGAAGGCAGGGGTTGTGGGGTGCTGTGATCAGCTCATGGACTTTCTTCTGATTGGTTGGTGGTGAGGTAATCAGGAGTCAACATCACCAACCTTCTGGTTCCAGTTCGTCTGGGGTCTACCTGCTTGTGTGCAGCATATAATTAACTACTTCCACCTGGTGAGGGTTTCAATATCTGCCAGACAGCTCAAAGGATATGGCTTAGAATATTGTCTATAGCCTTGAGGAGGAACTAAAGGTCTGAAACTTTGTTTAATGGCTAAATTATTATTACTTTGCTTTGCTTGACTGTTTTCCTTTCTTTCTGCATTTTCTCACTTCTCCAATTAAATTTAGCCTTTGGAACTCAAGGAAGGCCTAGGGGGCTAAAGTTTTTCTACAAACAAGAGGCAGGTGGAGGACAGGGGAGAGTCTGTCCCAGGAAGGCCCCATAGTGTCCTGCTCTGTTCACTACCAAGAAGCACTCAAGTGTCTAGGGTCAGTCAAAGCAGGTCTTTGGAGTTCTGGTAGGCTGCATCTGAAGGGGGTCAGTCTACTGAGCTATAAAAACACTGGTTTAAAAAAGATTTAAGGGCTTCCCTGGTGGCGCAGTGGTTGAGGGTCCGCCTGCAGATGCAGGGGACACAGGTTCGTGCCCCGGTCCTGGAGGATCCCACATGCCGCTGGGTGGCTGGGCCCGTGAGCCATGGCCGCTGAGCCTGAGCATCCGGAGCCTGTGCTCCGCAGCGGGAGAGGCCACAACAGTGAGAGGCCCGCGTACCGCAAAAAATAAAAAAATAAAAAAGAGATTTAAGGCCAGGAACAGGAAGGTCAAGTATTTTGCCAAGGTCAAATCCAGGTCAAAACACTAGAGGTGCTACCCTGGTGGTGCAGTGGTTAAGAATCTGCCTGCCAATGCAGGGGACACGGGTTCGATCCCTGGTCCGGGAAGATCCCAGGTGCTGCGGACCAACAAAGCCCGCGTGCCACAACTACTGAGCCTGCGCTCTAGAGCCCGCGTGCCACAACTATTGAAGCTGGCGCACCGCAATGAAGAGCCCGTGCTCTGCAACAAGAGAGGCCACCACAATGAGAAGCCCACGAACCGCAATGAAGAGGTAGCCCCAACTCGCCACATCTAGAGACAGCCCGCGCGCAGCAGCGAGGACGCAACGCGGCCAGAAATAAATAAATAAATTTATTGAAAAAAAGAAAAAGAAAAAAAAACACACACTAGAGATATATTCTACTGCATCTAGGGAGTAAACCACTACAGATAGCTTGGAATAAAGCCTTAACTAAACCCTGGCCCCATTACCCTGCCTATCTCCCTTCTCCTCTCGCCCCTAACCTCATTTATTCTTCAGGAAATGCCTGCTTCGCGAAGTTGTGGATAGAGAGATCTCTGGGCCCTCTCAGTAAATGGGTTTCAGTCCCGCTTCCGAGGACCGTTCCCTATTACTCCCTCTTCCCTTTCCGTATCTGACCTCTAACCAGGCAACCACTGGGAAGAAGACATAAAGAAGAAAAGGAAAAGGAGACTAAAGTCGTTTTTATAACATTTTAGATGCTTTTAGAAAGGTTCACGTCATTTCCAGATTCCATGAACAGATCATCAAGGTATCACTCAAGTTAAAGACACAGGACTTTTTCCCTCCCACTCCCTTCTCCACGCATCAGTGGAAGGGGAGGGAGAAGGGAGAGAGAAGAGGGAAGAGGGGGAAAAGTGAGAGAAGCAAGATGAGAAAGGGGTGTTGAAGGAAGAGATGAGAGCAAGAAGAGAGGAGTGGTCGGGGTGGTAGGGAGCTCGGGGCGTCTGCCCACCTGCGCTCCGGACCCGCCCGGGAGCGACGCCCGCGTCTTGCAGCGCGCAGCCAATTCCGCGGCCCCGAGAGCAGCCAGGACGCGCTGCTCTCCGCCCGGCGGCGGCCGGCGCCCAGCACCGCAGCGCCTGCCCGCCCTCCCGTTCGCCCCCGGGCCGGGGAGCCACCTTTCCTGCTGCGGACTGCTGCGGGGAGTGCTCGCGGTGAGTGTGGGGCTCCGCACCTGGCAAGGGAGAGCGCGCGGTGCCCGCAGCAGGCGCACAGGTGGGGAAGGGGCGCGGGGGAGCCCCGGGCAGCGCCTGCAGTGGGCAGGAGGGCCGGGAAGCCTTGCGGGGCTGGGGCCGAATTCCTTTCCTTCACTTATTTGGCGGCGAACGTGCAGCTCTGGAATTCCAGAGTCGCCCTTTCGCACTTCGTCCGTAACCTCTGCTCCCCAGGGCTGAAGTTGCGGGAAGCAGGCGTGGCCCAAGGCGGAGCAGGTGGTCCAGGCTGGGAGGCAGGGGTCCGGCTCCGTCTCTAGGGCGAGGGGTGGCGGTCCGAGCCGGAGACACCCTACTTCGGGGGTAGGCTCCCGGCGCTCACGCCTTGAGGAGCTGCTGTGGTGGAGAGAGAAGGGGCTCAGGACAGAATCCAGCCCTGGAAGCACAGGAGAGTCTTGACTCCAACCCTCGGTGGGATCTGGGGAGGACTCTGGGGAAAGGGATTAGAGAAATGTGAGGAGCCAGGCAGAGGCGTAGATCGGGGGAAAAAAAGAGCAGTTTTCTAACTTGATTTCCCAAGGGTACGAACCCCTGAGGTAAAAGGGCAGGAGGAGAGCTTCCACCTCGCGTTGGCAAAGTGCCTGGGCTGCTGTGGGTCCTGACCGTCGAAGGAAAGGCGCCCTGTTATTTAGAGGCGTGGTTGAGCAAAGAAGGAAAGGGGATTGGAGTGAGGGTTCATCCTCAAGGTTCCTCTTCCTCAGGGAGCTGGGAGAGCTGCATCTGTGTACCCAGAAAATTAAAGAATAAAATTGAGGAGAAGGAAGAATACATATGGAGATTAGCATTTTGGGTGCCTCAAATGCTGGATTTGGGTTTTGGGTTATTTCCATTTGTATGAAAGAGGTAGCCTCTCATAAGGCACTGGGTGGGAACAGAAGATGCGCTGCCACGACCTTTGGAAGAAACCTTGAGAAGACTTCTTTTTCTACATGTAAAGTACTTCCCAGGCACCTTGACGACTGTAATATAGTGAAGCTGATTGTTAGGTGAACATTTAAGATGACATAGCAGGGAGCATCACCCGCCCCTCCCCTCAATTTTTCTAGAATACCTTTGTTATCATTGCAGTTTGATTAAATTTTAGGGGGTGTGCTGTACCAAAAGCCAGTAAAATGGAACACATTCAAAATGGGTTTCTCCTGGTTCCATTTACATACAAGTCTTTGAAATTTGATTTGTTGATCAACAAGCTAATGACCTTTAAGTTTGAGTTGCCCCAATGTCTATGTGTTAGTTGAGGGAGGTGGCCTAGACTCTCAGCTGGCTTTCACTGAGGGAGTGGGAGTGTTAACAGCCAAAGCAAACCTAAGGAAGACTGGGCCATCTCTCTGGGCTCGCAGATGCTCTTCCTTCTCTTTCCCTTTCTCCGTCTTCAGACTCATAAGCAGGTTCAAGTATTATCACTTTGTGTCTCCTCCCAGGAAAGTGTAGTTCTTGCGCCTCTCCACCCCATTCTAATCTGTGAAAAGTGGTCTTCTATGCTTTGGATAGATTGTTCATTAAATTCAGATGTTTGTAGAACAAATATTATACTTACCTGTATTAGCTTAGGAGTTCCCAGATATGAAAAATAACTTATTTTACTTATTTTGTCCAAGAAATTTTAGTGCATTTTCCCACACCTCCTTTAGTCAGTGTGAATCATTTGTCAAGCTTCACCCACTGAGGTTTATTACAAAGCTGATGAGCTTCAGGTGTATCAAGGGGTTGTTCTCTCTTAACAATATATAAAGTTCTCTGTTGGAATGAAGATTTAAAGAATAATGCAGTTTTTGCCACTTTACCTCATTAGGCAAGTTTTATAGGTGGCTGGGATTGAGCAATTGTAGCACGTTTGTAAAGGAAGCTTTTTCATTGTTTTAAATACATAAATATATGACTGAGCTACTTTTATAAAGTTTTTAGGCATATTGTTCTTATGAAGACTTACATAAAGATGCTAATAAAAATAATACAACATACCCATATTCCTTAAGAAATTTTAAATTTAAAATTGGGTGCATGTCTCTTTTCAAAGACTTGCACAATTATAACTTAATTCTTAATTCCAAATGAGAGGAGTGATAGTTTGAATTTTCTAATCTAGTAAATGTGGTCCTTTTGAATTTGATTAACTAATATTGAAATTATTTCAAAGATTTTTTGAAGAGTACTTTCTGGTATATTAGTAATAAATGGCTAATATAAAACAACATGGACATGGTAAGATTTGAAAGGCCATGGCAGGGTTCTGTTTTTTCAATATTAGTTTAAGAGGTGGGAAGGATGCTGTTTGAGGCAATGTAAACAAGATGTGGCATGTTACTTCCTGATTGCTATGAACAGAAAACACTAATAATCCTTAGGTGATGGAGTCCTGAGACCCCTAGGGAGGCTTCTGTAGTGATCTGATATAGAGTCACAGTCCTGTACCCCACAGTGGGAAACCTTGCTTTCCACTCCCTCGCCTTAAATTAGACAGGCGAGAAATACTAATTTCTGTGCTAAAAGTGAAGACCCATGAAGTGCAGTAGGGAAACTTGGATTTGGCATCTGTTACAGAAATTACTACTTCCACTTGAAAAAGTATAGAGAAATGTTTTAGAGCCTAGGAATGAACATAAATAGGCAAAGATCATATTAATGAGTACACACCAGTATTAAAGAGGAATGACTGTACTGACCTGATAATTTCTTTAGTTCCCCGGTGGTGTTTCCTTCTCTCAGAAGTAATATGTGGCCTGTTAGCCCATGGTGCAGAGTATCTGTTTTCTTCTCTGTACAATGGGAAGCCATTAAAGAATTTCTGGTGGGAAACTGTTTTACCAGAATCCTCTTGCTATTGTGTCAAGATCATCTCCTGAAAGACAAGAGGGGAAACAAGGAGGCTGTTAAGAGGCTACTAGAATTTCTTAGCCTAGTCTTTAACCAGAGTAATAGCCGTGGAAATGATGAGAAGTGGCAGGATTCTGGATATATTTAGAGGTAAAGGTGCCAAGACTTGGTGATGGATCAGATGTGGCTGCTGACAGAAGGAAAGAAATCAAGGCTCATGTCTAGATTTATGACCAGAGTAACTGGAAGAAAGCAGTTGTCACCAACTGATACGGGAAAACTAAGGAGAAGCAGTTAAGTTTTGAGCAGCCTATTAGATATTCAGGTGCAGGCACCAGTGCATAAATGGTATTTAAAACAATAGGACTTTACAAAATGATTTAAGGAGAGAATGTATTTAAAGGATCAGACTGAGAAGGATCAGACAGCTCAAAATATGGACACTGAAGAGAACAGGAGCCAGAAAAGGAAACTCAGAAGTAGCAATCAGTGAAATAGGGGGAAATCCAGAAGGATATAAGATCATGGAAGCCGTGAGAAGAAAGTATTTAAGAAGGAGGAAGTGATGATTAGCTACATCCAATGCTATGGAAGAGTTAAATTATGTGAGGACAAAGAATTACCTTGGAATTTTATCTGACCTTGATAAGAGTTATTTCAGTTGAAATGGTGGTGACAAAAGATTGACCAATAAGGACTGACTAAAGATTGGTGACCTAGTGATTCCAATCCTAGGAATTTATCTTACAGATATATTTTTACATTGGAAAAATAATATATGTTCACACCTATTCCCTGAAGCTTTTTATATTAGTAAACAATTGAAAACAATAAATACTTGTAAATAGAAAACAAGTAAAATAAACCATGTACATCCATTCAATGGAATATTATCTAGCTGCTAAAATTATTAAGGCAGCATTCTGTATACTAATATGAAAAGATCTTCAAAGTATATTAAGGAGAAAAAAATTGCAATGCAGTGTGCATGAGTTATCATTTATTAAGGAACAAAAAGTGAGCCTATTTATGAAAGTATATACCATAAAAATGGATTACAGTGGTTACCTACAGGGAGGGAAAGTGAATGGTAGGGCACAATATTGGGAGGGAGATTGTCTTATATAGACTAAGTCTTATATAGACTTTAATACTTTGTTATGCACACATAGATTAGCTATTTAAAATATTAAATAAAATCTATACATAAATCTGAAAAAAATATTTATAATTTAAAATAATAAAAGAAGTAATGGGAAGTGAGGAAGTGAATGCTCTGTATAAAATAAGTCCTTCAAGAAGAGG